TCTATGCATTAGTTTAATACATTTTTATATTTTTAGGAAATATAAATTTTTATGTTTTTGCTCCAAATATAACAGGACCCCTTTCTCTAATAATTCATTTCTTTGTTTTTCACCTGTTACTATCCATTTTATTTATTTTTTTCTACTTTATTTTTTTTGAAATATATTTTTTAACGTATTACGTATGGAAGAAATTAATAAAGATTTGAATTTTGTTAAGTTGAAAGATTATAAAACACTTTTTTAATTGAAAGTTTCTAAAGAATCTTTAACACTATCCGTGACGGCCTATTTTTATTTTCTCAGTAATGGGGGGGCTTTCTGGCCCCTCCTTTTTTTAATATCTAATATTTTTACATGCTGCTAGTGAGAGAACCTGTTGTTAAAATATTTGAAGCCCACCACTGCTCTAAGGATTTTTGTAGATGCAAGTTTATCATTTAAAACTATACACACTTAACTTTATTTAATAAAACAACATGAAAAGTAAACAATAAAGTATAGTAATGGTATTTATAATAGTGTACAAAGTATGAAATAGTTATGAACATTAAGTGTATGACACGGTTTTATAAGTTGAAACAAAGAAACTCATGAAAATGAAGAATAAATCCCTTACTAAAGAAACAAGTAACTAAAAGGTGTTTATAGCAGTCTATGAAACAAGCTGAAGCTAAGTTATTGCAAAGTAAAATAAATGTAAAGTTGTAATGAAGGCAAACTTAACTGAATATGCCCATAGAAATCATATTTAGTGTAATGTTCATTTTTTAAAAAGATTACATACAGATTAAGTATTGGTTGTGTGAAATAGCTTGCAAATAAAAAAACTAAAGCTGAAATCGAAGCCAGTTATCACGTGATGACAACAACATTGTATACCATACTCATTGCATTAAGAAGTTTGACTAAGCAAAAAACATGTAAGGTGACTCTGATAGAAAAGCCAATATACAATCTGGGTTCCTTGGAAAAAGGCTTTCTAATGATATAAGATTTCTAGCATTTGATCAAGAAATTTGTTTGAAAAGTTCTGGACAGACAACTGCAGGCATATTATTTATGCAGATCCTTGAAGTTGCTTCCCAAGAGAGCAGTATTGGTGGCAGATACTAGCATAGTCAAGGCTATTTTTGATGACAAAGCCCCCCCCCCCAACTCCAAGGAAATGTGGTACCTTCCCTTCTTCTCAATGTGTGCTTTCCCAATACCTTTTTATAATATATGTATATATAATACACATGTGTGTAAAAATCGAGGTTTCTGCAAAATAAAACTAAAATTTTATACGACATAAATATTAAGAAATAGAAAGACAGATTCAGGGTACAACCAATTTAAAACTGCTTTAAGGAAAAAATGAATTCTGACAAATTTGAAAAACAAATCATTTATTTCTAGTGTTATAAGCTATATTTTCAATGTTATAGTTTAGTTGTTTCCTAGAAGGATCTGCAGGTTATGATGATGATGCAATATCTAGGAAGCTTATGATGATGTAATGATTAAGCAATTTTGTGGAGTATCTAGACAGAGCAAGTTGTGTCTATTCAAGTTTAGTAAAGGGAGACGTTAGCTGCTTGATGAGATCATCAGGGTCTGTCGGTTTCACAACTGTCTTTAAACAGAGAGAGGTATAAATTATATAAGTGTAAACATTTACACCTGAAATTCTGAGAAGTAGGGAGAGAACATTTATGCTGTTTTGCTTCGAAACCACCTTTCTTTGATTGTTCTCTGAAATCTATCAACTTTATAAACTTCTTTGCATAGTAGTAGATCCCCATCCTTAAGTGGCTGAGATATCAGTGAGTGAAGGTAGTAGATCCCCATCCTTAAGTGGCTGAGATATCAGTGAGTGAAGGTGAAACTGAATAAGAGGGAAGCAAATAAATTGTATCAATTGCTCAGAAGGGCCATCAGTAGGACTAGTGACAAAGACAGATATTTATTTATCCACCTGCTCAGAAGGGCCATCAGTAGGACTAGTGACAAAGACAGATATTTATTTATCCACCTGCTCAGAAGGGCCATCAGTAGGACTAGTGACAAAGACAGATATTTATTTATCCACCTGCTCAGAAGGGCCATCAGTAGGACTAGTGACAAAGACAGATATTTATTTATCCACCTGCGCAGAAGGGCCATCAGTAGGACTAGTGACAAATACAGATATTTATTTATCCACCTATTTGTTTTGGTATGTATGTCTTTTACAACCTGGTAAAGGATAATTATAATATACTTTTCATAAGACATTATGCATTTGTTGTATCCCAGCTGGCCTGAATTGAGCCAAAAATGCATAATTGGCAATGGATATGACAAACATAGTGTGTGGTTGGAATACTATTATTACACAATCTTCTAATTCTTGAAAATCCTTAAGGGACTACATAAAGAAAGCAGTATTTAAAAATGTAATTGGCCTAATTATAATGTTTTATGACAAGTATAATTATATCCACCCATTTGTCCATATAGGACAACCATGTTTTCATCACGTTAGATAAATTATCTATCAGCACCCTCAATTCTCTACAAAGCAGTGAACAGAACACAGTGACATAGCTCTGCTTTGAAAAATATACAGATCTGACCAACTTCTCTGCCTCGGGGTATGAGGTGTTACTAAAAGTCTTTATTCTATGTGCCTATATCTACATAATCCATTTTTGGAATGATCTAGGCCATGAGGGGTAGGAACCATTGCAGTTGAAATAGTGTGGCTTTAACTGCCATTCCCTACTACTTCGGTCTTTCCACTTCAGTAACCAAAGATTAGAGAACCACGACAAGATGATTTGGAGATTTCAAATCACTGACAATGAAAACAGTGAAGAGGATTTGCAAAAATATGGTCAGACCTTAAATTGCTTTTACATCAGTAGCTTGGCATGGTGATGTAAATGTTAAAATGAGCACTTGAGTCAACTCATTCCTCCAGAATCTGAAAGGAAGATTTGTTTAACAACTAGTACATTTTGATCAAGTTGTACAGCAAAAAATATCCAGTTCAAGATGTTAAAATAAGTCCCCTCTTAAAGAATCCACAGCCCTACAATCTTTCTTCAACAAGAAAAAAGTTCTGTTGCTCTCCATGGACAAATGAGTGGATAAATCAGCCTGTGTTCCTATTGGTGTCATTTCTGAGAAATTTGGTAGAGAAGTGTTTGACAATGAATGAGAACTTAAAAATCAAGGTATAGGAACTGTAAGAGCTGGTGAATGGGTGCATATAGTGATCCATACATGACTATAGGTTTGTTG